ATTTGTCTTTCAGCTCCAAATGAACGTTGGTGAAAGAGAAGTAACCATTAAATCATTCGCACCGAAATTTCGTCTGAATTTCACCATTCCTTTACCTTCAGTAATTTTTCATAGCTTGATTAAGGTACAAAATTAAAAAGAACTTTCCTAGCTTAAGTATGAACATGGGTTTGGATGTTAAAAGGCCAGTCCGCTAAGATAAGGTTAGAATGAAGAGAACCACATCTTAAAAAATTAATAATGTCGAACGGGTTTTAAAATTTTTCAGGTTTCAGCTGAGAAAACAGTTCTTGCATGAATTGACATATATGTCAGTTTGCCTGCTGAAAAGTCACAAAATAATTGAAGGAAACTTGAAATAGATTGAAAAGGTGTTTGGATGGACTTCACAAATCTCTTTCAGGTGAAGAAGCAGGTGGAAGGAAAAATTAAGATTCTGTTGGTATTTGCAGCTTTAGCGTTTCAGTGGGGAGTTTCACTAGGTATAAAAGTTATATGAATCATTCTAATAACCAAAATGTAGCATTTTCAATTTGCAGCTTTAGGTCCTTCGTAAAAGTCTCCTCAAGTTCAAACTGAGTGACGTGTACCACAAAATCAGCGCTGTGACCCGGTTTCTGCAGTATAAAAAGGCAAAGAAGCTTGCTTCTTTTCATGAACTAGATGCTTGTCCACTGCCAGTTATCTTCTTCCATCCGCAGTATTTAACGCTTTTCGCGCGTATTTACTACAATGGGGTTATGTACTATTTACTTCCGATCAGCCATAGAGAAAATCATTATCATACCGAAACATCTTTTTAAAGCTTTTAAAAGCTGATTACAGTAGTATCATTGTATTTATCATTATCATTGATATTGATATAATTATAATGATTTGATACACATATATAATTATTGTTTTCTCTCGTTTCCAATTTACAAGAAACCATTAAGCTGAATAACAAACCCAGATCAGTACAGTGGAGAAGGAGAATTTAAATGCACTGAAAAGTGGTATTGTCAAAGGCTCTTTAATAGTTTCCCTCTTGAATGAAGATGAAACAAAGAAATTCTTTCTATTCGCTTCAAAATTAATCTTGAATCGATCTATTCACATAATGCGCTAAGATCCGTTTCTCTTTCAGATCTAGAACCACCGACTTCTAGTTTCTGCCCTAGCGACATTGTGAAAGAGGCCAAAAGTCATAGAGAAAGGGTGAGTTGGAACCTACCAGTATGTTCAGACAATTCTCATTTGCCTCCAATCATTTGGTCTAACCGAAAGCTTGGAGACCTCTTTAGAGCTCCAGGAAAATATAAGATCCAACATACAGTCAAGGATTTCGACTTCGAACAACCAAACATCTATACTGGATGCTCTTTTATGATAACCTTGAAAAATAAGTTAAGATTGTTATTCATTCCAGAGCGCATTTCACTTGGGTGCTGAAGTTAATGACAACTTAAAGGGGAACTGTCTAAAGCGCGGGAAAACGCGTACTCTCGTTTAATGTTTTCGATAGTATGTGTGAAGCAGGCCCATAACGCGCACAGTCGAGCCTGTATCAGGCGGCATCGTATTTAGTGGTCACTCTGCCATTTCCCAATGGTGACCGCTTATACAGGTACGACTGTATAAAGATTGGCTTAAGGCGGAGCAGTTTTCTTTTACCAGCCGCGCAGCGCTGTACAATAAAATGAATGAACTCTGCGACGAAATACTGTTGTTAGTATGCAGGCATGTAACTGCTCGGTTTATGTTGGATTATTAAAATAAAAATGACCATATCGTTACACATTCTTGACTCCACATAATCACCCTTTGTTTACCGGTAATTTGGTATCATTTTTATTTTTAGGGACAAAATGCCCTATGTATCTTCCCCCAAAGAATGGCGCTCTTGTTTGTTTGAATTATGGTGACGGTTCTGAGAGATTCTGTCAAGTTGCTTGCAAACAAGGAACCGATTTCGTGACCAACCCTTCCGTTTTGTACGTATGTCTCGATAATGGAGAGTGGCTTCCTTTGGCTTATCTTCCCAACACGAGTGGAAAACTACCGTGGCCAGATTGTGCGAGTAGGTTTCGGTACCAAATACACAACCTTCAGAAAAAAGAATTCTATTGTAATTTTTTGCATTCAGGTTGATACGGGCAAGCCGCTGGGAAA